ATGGTTTGGACCAGAAGGCAGAAATAAACATTCAACCAGAACAGAATGAAGAAACAAGAATTAAAAAAAATAAGAAGAAGCTTAGGAACCTCTGGGACAACTTTAAACATTCCAACATCCAAATCATAGGGGTGCCAGAAGGAGAAGAGGAAGAGCAAGAAATTAAAAACGTATTTGAAAAAATAATGAAGGAGAACTTTTGTTTTCCTAATCTGGCAAAGGAAATAGACTTCCAGGAAGTCCAGAAAGCTCAGAGAGTCCCCAAAAAGTTGAACCCAAGGAAGCACACACCAAGGCACATCATAATTACATTACCCAAGATAAAGATGAGGAAATCTTTTAATTTAATTTAATTATTGTTCAAGTACAGTTTTCTGTCTTTTACTCCATCCCAGCCCACCCCCCGAGTACTCCCCACCTCCCTCCCCCACCTTAGTTTTTGTCCATGTGTCCTTTATCCTTGTTCCTGTGAATCCCTCCCCTTTTCCCCTGAAATTCTCTCCCCTCTCCCCTCTGGTCCCTGCCAGCCTGTTCTGTATTTCGGTGTCTTTGGTTATATTTTGCTTGCTTGTTTGTTTTGTTGATTAGGTTCCACTTATACATGAGATCATATGGTATTTGTCTTTCACTGCCTGGCTTATTTCACTTAGCATAATGCTCTACAGTTCCATCCATGCTGTTGCAAAGGGTAGGAGCTCCTTCTTTCTTTCTTTCTTTCTTTCTTTCTTTCTTTCTTTCTTTCTTTCTTTCTTTCTTTCTTTCTTTCTTTCTTTCTTTCCTTCTTTTCTTTCTTTCTTTCTTTCTTTCTTTCTCTCTCTCTCCCTCCCTTCCTTCCTTCCTTCCTTCCTTCCTTCCTTCCTTCCTTCCTTCCTTCCTTTCTTTCTTTCTTTCTGCTGCATAGTATTCCATTATGTAAATGTGCCACAGGTTTTCCATCCACTCACTCACTGATGGGCACTTAGGTTGCTTCCAACACCTGACCATTGTAAACTGTGCTGCTATGAACATTGGGGTGCATAGGTTCTTATGGATTGTGTTTCAGAGTTCTTAGGATATAATCCCAGCAATGGAATTGCCAGGTCAAAAGGCAGTTTCATTTTTAGTTTTCTAAGAAAAATTTCATACTGTTTTCCACAGTGGCTGCACCAATCTGCATTCCCACCAACAGTGTACTAGCATGCCCTTTTCTTCACATCCTCTCCAACACTTGTTGTTTGTTGATTTGTTTATTATGGTCATTCTCACTGGTGTGAAGTGGTATCTCATTGTGGTTTTAATTTGCATCTCTCTGATGGCTAGTGATGCTGAGCATCTTTCCATGTCTCTGGGCCCTGTGTATGTCCTCCTTGGAGAAGTGTCTGTTCAGGTCTTTTGCACATTTTTTAACTGGGTTGCTTGTCTTCCTGGAGTGGAGTCATGTGAGTTCCTTATATATTTTGGAGATCAAACCCTTGTCTGAGGTATCATTGGAAAATATAGTTGGAAAAAACAAATATAGTTGTTTTCCCAAACAGTTGGCTCCCTTTTCATTTTGCTGATGTTTTCTTTAACTGTGCAGAAGTTTTTAATTTGATAAGGTCCCATTTTTTTATTCTTTCCTTTATGTCCCTTGCTCAAGGGGACATATAGGTGAAAATATTGCTGCATGAAATATCTGAGATTTTCCTGCCTATGTTTTCCTCTAGGACTTTTATGGCATCACAACTTATATTCCTTTTCTTGTTAATGCTCTGGTTTGCTATCTTGTGTTCTTTTAATTGAGGTAAAATAGTCATATAACATTAATTTCTGAGACTTCCAGTCAAGATGGAGGTGTAGGTGGGAACACTGTACTTCCTTGCACACCAAGCTTATGAACAACGAAGATGTAGAAACCAGAACGCAACCAGAACAGAGAGAAAATTGAACTGTACTAAAGTCTGACAACAACATCCATCCATACCGATAAACCAGGCAAAGAAGTGAGCAGTGAGACAGACAGTGCAACCCAGGGCCCCAGTGCTGGGAAACAAAGCCGAAAAGCACCAATTGAAAAAACTTTTTGGGGTCAAGGTGCTGGGAGAGACTCCCAGGCTCACAGAGAGTTCGTTGGAGAGACCCACAAGGTCCTAGAATGTACACAAGCCCACCCACCTGGGAACCAACACCAGAAGGGCCCAATTTGCTTGCAGAAAGTGGCAGAGGGAACCAAAATTCGAGAGAGAGAGAGCAGAAAAACACCATTGCTTCTCTCTGACCCCACCCCCACATACAGCATCACAACCCAGTGACCTGGGTTGCCCCACCCTGGTGAACACCTAAGGCTCTGCACCTCATACATAACAGGCACAAACAGACCAAAACAGTATGGCTCAAAAAGAAAAACAACTCAAAGCCCCAGAACCAATACATGTAAGCGACCAAGAGATAGCCAACCTATCTAATGCACAGTTCAAAACACTAGTGATCAGGATGCTCACAGAAACTGGTTGATTTTAGTCACAAATGAGATGAACAAATGAAGGCTAAACTAGGTGAAATGAAGGGAAATGCACAGGAAACCAATAGTGATGGGAAGGAAACTGGGACTCAAATCAGTGGAGTGGACCAGAAGGAAGAAAGAAACAAACAAACAAACAGAAAAAGAATGAAGTAACAGGAATTCAAAAAAATGAGAAGAGGCTTAGGAACCTCCAGACATCTCTAAACATTCCAACATCCGAATTATAGGGGTACCAGAAGGGGAAGAGGAACAGCAACAAGTGGAAACCTTATTTGAACAAATAATAAAGGAGAACTTCCCCAAACTGGTAAAGGAAATAGACTTCCAGGAAGTCCAGGAAGCTCAGAGTTCCAAACAAGTTGGACCCAACAAGGAACACACCAAGACACATCATCATTACATTAGCCGAGATTCAAATGAAGGAGAGAATCCTAGAAGCAGCAAGAGATAAGGGGACAGTCACCTACAAAGGAGCTCCCATCAGACTGTCAGCTGATTTCTCAAAAGAGACCTTACAGGCAAGAAGGGGCTGGAAAGAAGTATTCCAAGTCATGAAAGACGAGGACCTACCTCCAAGATTGCTCTATCCAGCAAAGCTTTCATTTAGAATGGAAGGGCAAATAAAGTGCTTCTCAGATAAGGTCAAGTTCAAGGAGTTCATCATCACCAAGCCCTTGTTATATGAAATGTTAAAAGGACTTATCTAAGAAAAAGAAGATAAAAATATGAACAGTGAAAGGACAGCAAACTTACAGTTATTAACAACCACACCTAAAACAAAAGCAAACTAAGCAGACAGCTAGATCAGGAGCAGAGTCATAGAAATGGATATCACATGGAGGCTTAGCAAAAGGGAAGTGGGGGGGAGAAGCTACAGAGACTAAGTAGCATAGATGGTAGGTAGAAAATAGACAGGGGGAAGGACAAGAATAGTATGGGAAATATAGAATCTAAAGTACTTGTGACACATGGACATGAACTAAAGGGAGGGATGGGGGGAGTGGGTGTGCAGGGTGGAGGGGAATGAGGGAGGAAATGGGACAACTGTAATGGCATAATTAATAAAACATATTAAAAAATAAAAAATTTCAATTACGCAAAACTGTATTAACCATAGTGACTATATGATACACTATATTCTCAGACCTTAATTATCTTACAACTGAAAGTTTATACCCTTTTATACCTCTCTCCACTTCCCCCATTCCTCAGCCCCTGTCAACTACCATTTTATTCTGTTTCTATGGATTTGGCTTTTTTTTTTAGCTTGTACCTATAATTGATACCAGGCTATATTTATCTTTCTGTCTGGCTTATTTCACTTAGCATAATGCCCTCCAGGGTCAGCCATTGTAGGGGAGCTTCATCCAGCAAAGCTGTCTCAGCTGCTATGGATGAGAGTAAGTTTACCAGGACATGACCTGCTTGGGGAGAAAAGGCTGACTAGTCTCTCAGAGGAGAAAGGCCTTGTGCCTCTTTCTCAATGGGCTTTTACTGAGTTTTATTTGCACAGGAATACAGGGTGTATATGTAAAGCTCAACAATCATTGTCAGGCAGTAATGATCAAGGAATAGATAACATTTAAAGAACTAAAAGGGCTTATTCTGAGTCAGGGTCAGATAGATAGAGTGACACCAAAGGGCCATAAAACTTCGGGAAACAAACTCATTTTATGCTTGGACCCCTAAGATTTAAAATGAGGGCATTTTTAGCAAAGCAGATTTCACAGGATTTTATGCATTCTCTCTCAGACCTGATCACACTGCCCACCCCGCTCCCCCACCTCTGCCAGGAACTGCCTGTTCCAGGACAGGGTTGCAACCCCTTTTGGCATTGTTTCAGTCCTGAATTGGGGTGGGGATTCAGGCAGCCAAGGGATTAGGAGACTTTTTACAGGTAGAATAAGGAAGGGGTGAGGGTCTTTTGTCCCTCCTCCAAAATCCCATAAGTCTTTCCCTGATGGCCTATTTGAGATGTGCCTGTCTTAGGTGGTCCATCCCTTGAAGAATCTTACCCATTACTGACTATCCAGCCATCTTCCAGGGACCAAGCAGGGTGAAGTAAAAGGGGCAGAGGCTGTACCCCTGCTGGGAGGATAAGCTTTGTCTCCTTAGTGGCTTGTGGTCCCAAGGTCTTTTCACTTAGCCTTAGTCATGGGGGGTTACAGCTTCTGAAACCAAGCAGGGTGGTTCCCAACATCTGCCCCTTTATTGTTTATGAATGCAACTGTAGTTGTTAAGCCTGTGAAACCTACTATTTGCTGTTCCCAAACATGGTCTTGAGAAAACGACCTCCATGTACAGCATAAAACACAAATAAGGAGAAAGACAAGGAGGCACTCAAGGGCTCCCATGACCCAAACCCATAAATTCAGTCCATCAAACCAGTTCTCAGGATTCAGTCATTATAGATTGTCATGGAAGTTCCGGAACACCTTCTGTTCAGTAAGGCATTTGATGTCATTGAGCTGCTGGTGGAGCCCAAGCTGGAGCTGATCAATCTGTTCTCTTAGACTGGCAGAAAACGCACCCTGTAGGTGATGACAAATATCTGCCCAGGAATGCTGACTGGAATTTCACCTTAATGGAGTAACACAGAGTTTAGAGAAACAAGGATCACAGGTAAGTTGTTGCATTAAGGCAAGAGAATCTTGTTGCTCTCTGAGCCAGACAACAGCAGATTCTATAGCAGAAAAATGGGTGAGAATTTCTTGATCAATTTGGGTCTGTTGAATGATTTATTGAATAGCATTGGTAAGAAGCATATCTACTGCATGAGCTGTTTGAATGGATTCAGTAAGGGCTACAGCTGCAGTTGCCCAACTCCAACTACTACAATAGCAGAAATAATGCAGGCAATAAGCATGACTATAAACTGACAGGCCCTGGCATGGGCAAAGGCCTTATTGAGAGCACTGTATCCTCCCAGATCAGCCCATTCCAGAGTAAGGTTAACAGGAAGCCGGCCTTAGCCTGTCAGTGAATGACAAATATGGTGGTAAGATTTAATCTAGTGGCATTCACATGGGTTAAGCAACTGGTATATATAGTACTGGGGGTAGTAGTAAAAGTATAAACAGTAGAAGTCTCTTTATACATAAGTTGAGGTATACCAGGGATAGCTACAAAACGATAAGGATGAGATGTACATACAGTAGCCCAGGTACATTTAATGTTCCAAGTGTTAATGAAAGCAAAGGCATTATCTCTCTTTCAAACGAGTTGAAATTGTCCCGTCTGGTGGTCAACAAAAGGGAGCTCCATTTTCCAAGAAGTATGCCATGGGCTAGTGTGAATAAGAGTTTTTATTCTGAGAACAGGGGCTCCTGCTCCTCTGCTATGCCAACTAAGTTTACTGTACATTTGGAGTTTTAGAGTTTCAGGTCTTAAGTTCAAGTTTGTTTCTTTGTTTTTTAAATCCATTTTGAGTTGATTTTTGTGTGTGGTGTAAGACAGGGATATAATTTTATTTTTGTGCATATGAAATCCAGTTTTTCAAACACAACTTAAAAGCCATTCTAAGATAACCTGCCTTACCCTTTAGTTATACACACTACAGGTGACTCCACTTTCCTGGCTGCAATTGGTTGAACCGGGGGTAGACACCTGATTCAGGCTAAGCCAATTTGATGTTTTTGTTTCAGAAGATGAACCAAAATACAGAGATCGAGGCTGTTCATATCATGAAGAGGAGCTGTTGGCTATGGGAGCATTAAGGCAAACATGACACCATGGCAAATGAAAGCCTCAGGTGAGAGCTGAGTGAACCTCAAAAGCCATGGAAAGATCAGAAATGGATGGTCTAGAGAAAAAACAAATGGACACACCAGAGAAACAGAGATGAGAGATTATCTGATTGATCCCAGAAAAAGTAGCTGTCCGAATGACTTTCCATTTTCAATGTAATAGGACTCTGTTCTGAAATTAGATTCTCTGGTATCCCTAGAATCCCTTTAATAAATACCCTTCCACCTACACTCCCAGAACTGAGTTAGGGAAGTTCCTGTTTCCATCAGCAGAGACCCTAATCAAGACAATAGTGCACTTGTTAGCCACAGTGTTGAGAATAGTTAAGGAAGGAAGTACATCCTGTGGAATGTTCTGAAGACTACAGGGCTTCCTGTGGGAATAGTGTTGAAGCTCAGCCTGGTGGGCATCAAAGGAGCAGGAGGTTGAGGGTCAACAGGGCATGAAGGTAGGGTGATGAGGACCCCAAAGAAGATTTCCTACCTACAAAGTATAAAGTGAAGGACCTTCAAATGATTGTGATTTCAGTCATGTAGGAAAGAGGTACATACAGCTTCACAGTCCTACTTGTGTAAGTTGTATCTTTAACATGTTATGTGGTCATGCATATTCAAGGTATGGTGGTAAAAGAGTAATTACCTGGCTCTTTGTGGGACTCTGTGCAGAGCCTATGCTTTTTGCTGTGACAATCAGTACAAGTATATCACCATACATTGGACTGGGATCAGATCTAAAAGCTTTTCTTTAGGTTTTTCTACCTATTGCTACAAATATTAGTAAAAACTAAGAGACCTAGGATGGCAGTGAACCATCCACTGAAGCACCAACTACTAGTTGTTTTTAAAAACATTTTTAAAAGAGGTCTATCCCTTCTCAGCCTTTTGGCTAAGATCAAGTGTAGTATCTGTTCTTATCAGTGAAAAAGAGGTCTAGACCATATTAGTGCATGGCAGAGTTTGCTAACTGTCCTCTCAATAACCTTTATCTTCTGTACTAACAACAGTGTAAGCTGGATCCAAATTTAGCATAGCAAGTGGAATGTAAGCCAAAGTGATGTATGCAACTTATGGGTCAGGTGCTTCCTTCACTCTTTTCCATTTAAGTGGGCTGGAATCAGGATATGAGGCATTGTCAGGCACAAAAAATGAAGCCAACTTCCTAAGGAAGGGAAAACAAGACAGAGGAGTGGGATTCTCCACAGAGCCATCCCTTTGATATCTCTGTATTTTTGAGTCTGTTGTTTCAACAACCTAGCCAATACCCTAAATAAGATCATAATTAAGCAGGCTTTTCAGATAATTCTCTCCACAAATATTGAAACCCGATACAAATTCAGGAGGAGAGCACAGAACATGTTTGGAGAGATGAAAAGTATGACTCTGCACAGCAAACCTACACCAGGGGCAATAAACAGGTCTGCGAGGTGAGCTAGATCCACTAAAACCTTAATAGGATCTTTGAATACAGGAGAGCATTTCAGTATGTGCAGGAAAGTATGTGCAGGGCACTCTAAATATTCCGTAGAATACCTAGGAAAGTGTGAAAAGAGGTATAATTTTAAGTTCAATGTTGGGAGAAATAAGAAGAATAAAAGCACAAAATAGATGACAAGAGACAGTTTTCCAATAATGATGGTGTTTTGTTTTTTTCCTTTGGGGAAGAAGTAGTTTGGGGGTGGTTTCCAAAAATTTAAACCCTAGTTAAGCCTAAAGGCCAAGATCCTAGTTATTTAAAAAGCAGTAGGAAGCATTTGCTCTACTTATGTCAGAAAAATTTCATATTAGACCACTGGAAAATGGTAGAGTAGCCCATGAGTTTTGGGGCATTTGCTTCCTTTCCATCTGGTTTAGTCTAATCCTGGAGAATACTAAGCACAAACCCAATCCAACATTGTAATAGGTTTTTAAAAATATCCTTTGAATTAAGAGCTCTATGACTTCATGAGTAATTTTATCCCAGGTATATACAGAAATTTCTAATTTTGTTACACAAAATAGTTGTATAGTTATTCCCAATTTTTCTTAAAATTATGATCACTGCATATTTCCCAATACACATACTTGTCTTTGTAATATTATTTCATGGTTTTGTTATCAGTTTGATATTTTAATTCAGCCCAAGGCCTTGTACACAGTTGACCCTCAATAAATATTTGGATATTTACTGAGTCAGAAAGAATCTCACATAACTCCAGCTTTTACTAGCAAATGTGGCTTGCAACCCTGCCCCCCATCCAAGCTGCTATAGAAGGTGATGATATGCAGTAAAGCAAACTTTACTAAATTTTTAAATGTAAAATGGTTGGCTGGTTACAAAGACGGTCCTCTACTCAAAAAATTCTTTTGAAAAACTTTCCTAATATTGGCTTTTATGCTAATTATAACTTTAGTATTACGATAAAAGATCCTGACTTTGGTCACATAAAAACTACATTTTGTCTTGGCTCTGTTTAATGTATATCAAATTTATAAAAGTCAATATATATTACTTGACATTATCATTTTTATAAATTCAGTTTGAATTCAATGACCAACAAGAACTTAGTGAACTACTTAGCTTTTCAATGGTTTTAGAAACTAAAGCAGTGATATATATTTTAAAGGTAAAAGTAAATAGCAAGATATTATGTATAAATATAAAAGCAATACTATTAGTAACATAGACAGCCTTGTTTTTTTCATATGGATAAGATACAGTGTCCACGACTTTAATAGTAACCCACTACAGTAAGAAATATGGTCCATAGAGAGTGGGGCAGAAGAAGTTGTTCATATAAAAAATAATACCATAATTATCATAAATAATAATATAAGAATAAACTCTGTTTCGTGTACTCACAACTGTAAACCTGCTTTTGCCCCACCCTGTATATTATAATATATTTGGAAATTGCTGTCAGAGGAAGTCTGTTCTATTTAACAATTCTCTGGGTGAAAATAACTGACTTGGTGGTCAAATCAGTCTTTTAATATTTGTAACCTATTTACATATATATTGTAGGTTTCTGATAGTGGTCAGGAGGGCAGGGTTCAGTGGACCTATACAAATTGATCAGCGGTCCTCTCTGAGAGGCATGATAGAGGATGTTGGATATTGTAGGAGGAAGGGAAGGTCTCATAAATACTACAGTTTCTTTCGCATAAAGGTTGATTCCTTTCACTATATTTCTCCAGCATTATTTTTCCTTCTTATCAACCTTATCCTCAAAGCATTCATAAGACATTGTGGATTCAGGAATGGAAATTATCTTATACTTTAGAATTAACTTTAGGATCTTAGAATAAAGGAGATTTAAGTCACATAGGGAAGTCATATATGAAATCCATATACCTTAGAATTATGGATTTCAAGGGGATTTTTTTTTCTTTAAAATGCAAGTGATTAGGCCCTGGCCAGGGAGCTTAGTTGGTTAGAGCATTGTCTTACTATGCCACAGTTGCGGGTTCAGTCCGCAGTCAGGGCACATACAAAAATCAACCAATGTATGCATAAATAAGTGTAACAACAAATTGATGTTTCTCTCTGTCTCTTTTATTCTTTCTAAAATTAATAAATAAAATTTAAAAATAAAATAAAATAGGACTTAAGTCAAAATTAGCTGACCATTTTCTACACAAATTGATCCGGAATATTTTTTTTATGGTTAGATCTTTGGGTCTTAGTTCCTGTATGACACAGTTCAGGTGAATAACATATTAAGAATAGCTTCCTGAAATATGCAAAGAAACACAATACCTTTGGAATGGATTACATAGAGAATTTCTAAGAATACCCCCACTGACAATCTTTTTTTTTTTAAAGATTTTATTCTTCTTTTTAAAGATTTTATTTATTTATCTTTAGAGGGGAAGGGAAGGAGAGAAAGAGAGAAATATCAATGTATGGATGCCTCTCATGAGTCCCCTGCTGGGAACTGGCCTGCAACCCAGGCATGTGCCCTGACTGGGAATCAAACTGCGATGGTGTGGTTCGCAGGCCCGCGCTCAATCCACTGAGCTACACCAGCCAGGGCCACTGACAATCTTTCATGGTAACTAAGGAAAACTATTTCTCTAAGATGGTTTAGGTTTAATTTTATTAAAGACAAAAAGATAAACTATCAAAATCTCCTCTTTATCATTGACATAATATTTGTGTTGTTAGAAAATAAAACAAACTGCCTTGGCTGGTATGACTCAATGGATTGAGTGCAGGCCTGTAAATGGAAAGGTTGCCAGTTTGATTCCCAATCAGGGCACATGCCTGGGTTGAGGGCCAGGTCTCCAGTAGAGGCATGTGAGAGGCAAACCATAGATGTATCTCTCCTATATTGATGTCTCTCTTCCTCTCTTTCTCCCTCCCTTTCCTTCTCTCTAAAGTAAAGAAATAAAGTCTTTTAAAAATTATTTTAAAAGAAACTAATTTTGGCAAAACCTTTATTTATGCCTTCATGTTATTAATGGAGCCCTCTATGGCACTGAAGATGAAAAACACACATAATTGTGATTGCAGGATGATCAGTATAGCGATGAAGGGGAATAGAGAGAGAAAGTAACACATAGCAGCACTGATACATCAAATGTTCCTTTTTTAAAAAGTGTATTTCCTGTGAATTGTGTTGGGTGTCTTCTTTGCTCACCCACAAAATCCGCTCATCTAATAGAACTCACCAAACCACCTAGTGGTGTTATATACTCCGTGGGTGCTTTGAAACTCACAAATTATATCTTAAGAGGGAAAGCTGAAGATGAGCTATAGCCATAGAACTAGCTCCCCAACTCTTACTTTGTTTTTTGATTTACTACCAGTTCTCAGCCATTTTTGTTTTTGTTTTTGTTTTCACTCCAAGTCCAGGTCTCCTTTCCTTTCCAGCTTGTTGCACCTTTTGCTCTCATGTTTTTCTGAGTTTTGCTTCCTGTTTTCCCATAGCAGGGTATATCCATAGACTTACCATCCAGATTAGTTTTGAGGGTCTCACAACATACTCCAGCCTACCCCTAATCTGTGTCTTGTCTTTAATAGGGAACTAGACAGGAAAGACCCAAAAGAAGAGGCTGGAACCATTGTGACTTTAAATTTTGAGTGTCTAAGAAAAGTGTTAAGGATTTCCTGCTCTGCGTTAGCTACAAAGAGAAATATTTCCACCAGCTAGGTTGAAACAGCTTTTCTTTTATATACAGTCTACAAAGAAATGATGCTTAAACAATATTTCTACTTTTGAAATCACCAAGTCCAGCTGGCCTGCCAACTGGGTTCTTTTTCCCACCTATATTTTTGTCTTCCTAGTTTCGCATTTCACTCTGGTAGGAGACATGGCTAAAAAGAAGCCTTGAGCCATGGTGTGACTCAGTGGATTGAGTGCCAGCCTGCGAACCAAAAGGCTGCCAGTTTGAATCCTAGTCAGGGCACACACCTAGCTAGGGCGCCAGCCAGGTCCCTGGGTGGGGGAATGCAAGAGGCAACCAATCGATGTATCTCTCTCCCACATAGATGTTTCCTCCCTCTCTTTCTCCCTCCCATCCTCTCCCTCTAAAAATAAGTAAATTAATTAATTAAAAAAGACACCTTGAAATAAGGCATCAAAGTGAGAGAAAAAGTGAAAAGATCCAAATATGAGGATAATAATAGAGAAAAACAAAGCAAAACTCCTCAGTTTGAAACATGTCAAAGGATATTTCCTAAAAATGTGTGGGCTTAAAAGGAAAATACTGAAAGTAGAAAATATGTTAATAAAAACCAGATTTGTCATTTGTCAAAACAGGACTGAAGATCAAGCATAATAGATAAATATTCCAAGATACTTTCTGTAAGGGAATTAAAATATTCTATGGAGACAACCCCACCAATATCAGGTATTCAAGGTCATGTCTCTCAAAACCACTGGTTAATTTTCCTAAGTCCAACAAATTGCTTAGTATGGTATTCAGGGCCTTTGCAATCTGACCCTCAAATTGTCATTATTGTATAAGGTAGTGTGATGGTTAATTTTATGTGTTATCTTGGCTAGGCCATGGTGCTCAGATATTTGGTCAATAATTACTTTGGAAATTTCTGTGAAGGCTTTTTTTAAAAGTGAGATTTAACATTTAAATTGGTGGTTGTTTAGTAAAGTCCATTATAGTTCTTAATGAGGTATACTTCATACTTCATCCAATCAGCTGACTACCTTAATATAACAAAGATCGACTTCCCCTGAGCAGGAAGGAATTCTGTCGGCACACGGCATCTGCACTCAAACTGCAACTCTTCCCTTTGTCCTCCAGTCTGTCGTCCTGCTCTGAAGATTTTGGATTTACCAAGCCTCCATAATCATGTGAGCCAATTCCTCACAGTATATATGCACTCTCCACATAGATGTAGGTATCTGCATCTATGATACAGATGCATCCTGTTTGTTGTATTTCTCTGGGCAGCCCTGCCCAGTACAGGTAGGAATAATATCATAGGTTCTATAATCAGCAATATGGGCTCAGGGCGTGGCTCTGCCCTTTGCTGTGTAGGTTGGAAAAGCTACTTTATCTTTCTAAACCTCGGCTTCCTTATCTTTTAAAATGGCTATAACAATCCTCCAGTCGTGACAGATTGCATGCTATCTAATCTAGTATTTCTATTTCTAGAAATAAATTTGTTCCTTCTAGTCATAAATTTGTTCTTTTTTACCTAAACTTTACTTTTCCTTTCAGACCTGTGGTGGTTTTAAAAATATGTTCACAATTTTGTTAATAGTCATCCTTTCAAGTTAAATTGCCCTTCCTTCAATATAGGCTAGACTTAGTGAATTGCTTGTAATGAATAGAACATGGCAAATGTGAGAGTACATCATTTCTCATTCTCTCTCTTTCATCACTTGTTATGAGGAAGCCAACTGCCTGGTCACAAGCATCTCTATGGAGAGTCCCCGAAGCAAGGAACTGAAGCCCCCTGCCTGCAGACGCATGACTGAACCTGGAAGCAGAGTCTTCAATCTTCCTGACTTCAGTTCCAGCCAACAACTTCACTGTAACCTCATGAGAGATCTGAACAAGAACAATGCAGCTGAGATACAATTCTTGAGCCTCAGAAATTGTGAGATACTAAATATTTGTTCTCTTTCACAGCTTAAGTTTTGAGGCAATCTGTTGCGCAGCAAATAATTAGTGCCACATTCATTTCAAGGCTATAAAATACTTCCCTGACCAATACACAGAATGTCTCCTTTCTTGGGTTCCCCATAGCATTCTGCATATAACATGATGAAACTTTTCATGTTATATTAACAATGTTTTTATAATGTGCTTGTCTTCCTTGCAAGGCTGTAAGTTGCTTGAAGGTGGCTCATCATTCTGTATTAAGTGAAAATATAAAAACAAACCAAAAACCCCCCCCAAAACCTCAAGCCTGGCACATAAAGAACTCTTACAATAGTTCAAGTAACAATTAGTGTTTCCTATGTGTTATATGATGTCCTAAGCTTTTTTGGTAAATATCCTATTTAATCCTCATGAAAACCTAGCAGATATATTATTACCATTTTACAGATGATGAAACTGAGGTCAAGTTATAAAGAAACTCTTTAATTGGATGATGGTCTCACAACTAGTAAATGTTGCTGAATTAAAGAAAGAATAAAAGAATATTTCCTATAAACAGGACCATACAGGACTCACCTTAGAATCTCTTACTCTGCCTCTCCACACCTTCTCTGTAAATGCTTCACAAGAAACAGTGTTGGTAGTTTGATTACATGAGATGTATAAAAGAAGATTTTTGGTTCTGAACTTAACAAAATGCGGTGGTTTGAGATGTAAAACAGTTTGTAAAAGAGTGAATGGTGTTCTTTTTAATGGTGTACTTTTCTTACAAACGTGATTTCTACTGAAGCCTTTAGATTTACAAAGTTCAAATAGGCGGCAGCTGTTTGACTTCTGGGCCTCCATTACTAAACCTGTGGCCCACAGTCCCTCCCAGTGAGGTGTATCTAAACAAGCACCTGAATATGAGAAGCCTAAAGCCAGATTACAGTCAGAGTTGGCCAGAGTCTGGAAAGCAGTTTGAGACTTCCTATTTCATAATTTTTGACTTGTTTTCTCTGACAACTTCCTCCCCACTTAATAGTAAGTAGGAGGTCTTTATATTATTTGGTGAATAGGGACTTCTTTTTCTCTTGATATGTATTTGTGAGATTTATCCCTCTTACATTCTGTCTCTGCAGAGATTAATGAAAACAAATATTTTGAAAGCTGTAAGAAGGATCGTGAAGTGTTGGCAGATGCTAAAGATAAGTGATTATAAAGATAATAAATCCCTTCTGTTGTTCCTGTAGGCCTTATTATTTCTCCTACAAGACAGTACCTTCATAAATTGTCTGCTAGAAACATTACCCTAAAAATTTCATTTAGGGACAATGAGACTAAAAATTTCTGTTATTAAAGATTAAATAGATTAAACTGCTTACACTCACAAAAATGTAAGCAGTGTACTACTAATAATTTTTCTTGGAAGATTAAGGCTACCAAAACACTTTGTGCTTTGACAAAAAGTTTGTGCTCTAACAATCAAGTGTGACATCAAACTTGATTCCCTTCAGTTGTCCTAGACTTCTGAAGGGGTGTCGCTTTCCACTGTTCTGCATTTCAGAACAGAGCCTTTATTGCAACAGCACAGTTTCTCCGGCGCTTCCTTACTCTACCACTCCGCAGCTGAAGCAAGGTATGTTTATGCCTCAAGATTCAGTATTTCAGTCATGAAATAAAACATGTCTAAGAAAATTGTAGTAACTCCTTTTCAAGCAAAAGTCAGCTCTCTAGCAACACAAATATGAACTGCTTGATAAAAAATTGTGTGTTCCTTTGGAATATTTGTTCTAAGATGAAATAACCATAGGGTATTTTGATCTAAGATTTTTAAAAAATATTTTATTTATTTTTATAGAGAGGGGAAGGGAGGGAGAGAGATGTTGAGGTACCAGAGATACATCAATTTATTGCCCCTGGCAACCCCCCAACCGGGGACATGGCCTGCACACTATGCATATATCCGAACTGGGAATCAAACTGGCGACTTTCAATTTGCAGGCCAGCACTCAATCCACTGAGCCACAGCAGCTAGGGCCTGTTCAAAGATTAAATGCGAGCCAGAAATACCCAGAATATGAGGCAGTAAAGGATAGTAAATGAAAGCACACTAGGCTCTGAAGTCAGGCGAGCTGGCTTTGAATCCTGGCTGTGCTTCTCTAAGCTGTGAGACCAATCTTGGAGATTTACTTGACATCTTTATCTCCTGTAAAGTGGGGACAACAAAAATGCCTCCTCTAGAAGTGCTGTGGGAATACAAATGAGAGGATGCAATAAAAGTACATAGTGCGATGCCTGGTACATAAGGAGTTATCAGTATATTTTAGTTGTTATTATTTTCAAATACCATGTAAAAATGTAGTTTATTTTTACTATGTAGGCCATGAGGGAAACATTCCTAAAGATACTTTTAAGTGAAAAATAGAAATTCCTTACCAATATAGGATATTAACATTTTCTTTATAGACCTCATTTACTTTCTCAGGGAATTTCAAATTTTTTACAACTCAGGGAATTTCTATTTTTTTACAACTGAATTTTTGTAATTTTTTACAAAAATTTCTCTATTTTACAATGAATTTCTTAAAAATTCATTGTAAAAACAATATTACAGTTATTAAGAAAAAGATGTTGATTAAAATTTGGCACAATGAAGAAAAAGAATGTCCATTTTTATTTTTATTTAAATTGTTGTTCAAGTACAGTTTTCTGTCTTTTACTCCCAGCCCACCCACCCAGCCCTCCCCCCTTCTCTCCCATTCCCAACCCCCCCTAGTTTTTGTCCATGTGTCTTTTATACTTGTTGCTGTAAACCCTTCCCCTTTTCCCCTGAAATCCCTCCTTTCTCCCCTCTGGACACTGTCAGCCTGTTTCCTATTTCAGTGTCTTTGATTATATTTTGCTTGTTTGATTGTTTTATTGTTTAGGTTCCTGTTAAAGGTGAGATAATGTATTTGTCTATCACCTGGTTTATTTCACTTAGCATAATGCTTTCCAGTTCCATACATGCTGTCCCAAAGGGTAGGAGCTCCTTCTTTCTGCTGCATAGAATTCCATTGTGTAAATGTACCATAGTTTTTGGTTCATTCATTTACTGATGGGCATCTAGGTTGCTTCCAGCACTTGGCTATTGTAAATCGTGCTGCTCTGAACATTGGGTGCATAGGTTCTTTTGGATTGGTGATTCAGGGTTCTTAGGGTATAATCCTAGCAGTGCAATTGCTGGGTCAAAAAACAGTTCCATTTTTAGTTTTCTGTGAAAATTCCATACTGTTTTCCACAATGGTTTTACAAACCTGCAATCCCACCAACAGTGCAATAGGGTTCCCTTTTCTCCACCTCTCCAACACTTGCTGTTTGTTGCTTTGTTTATGATGGCCATTCTGACTGGTGTGAAGTGGTATCTCATTGTGGTTTTAATTTGCATCTCTCTGATAGCTAGCGATACTGAACATCTTTTCATGTGTCTCATGTCCTCCTCAGAGAAGTGTCTGTTCAAGTCCTTTGCCCATTTTTTAATTGGGTTGCTTATCTTCTTAGAGTGGAGTCATGTGAATTCTTTATATATGTTTGAGATTAAATCCTTGTCTGAGGTATCATTGGCAAATATGTTTTCCCATACAGTTTGTTCTCTTTTTATTTTTAATACTGTTTTCTTTAGCCATGCAGAAGCTTTTTATTTTGATGAGATCCCGTTTGTTTATTCTTTCCTTTATGTTGCTTGCTCTAGGGGACATATCAGTAACAATGTTGCTGCGTGAAATATCTGAGATTTTCCTGCCTATGTTCTCCTCTAAGACTTTAATGGTGTTATGGTTTATATTTAAGTATTTTATCCACCTTGAATTTATTTTTGTGTATGGCATAAGTTGATGCTCGAGTTTCATTTTTTTGCACATAGCTGTCCAGTTCTCCCAACACCATTTGTTGAAGAGGCTATCTTTGCTCCATTTTATGTTGCTGCCCCCTTTGTCAAATATTAATTCACCATAGAGACTTGGGCTCTCTGTTCTGTTCCACTGGTCCATGTGCCTATTTTATATGCCAGTACCAGGCTGTTTTGATTACAGTGGCCTTGTAATACAGTTTGGTATCAAGTATTGTGAAGTCCTCCTACTTTGCTCTTCTTTCTCAAAATTGCAGCAGCTATTTGGGATTGTTTATGGTTCCACATAAATTTTTGAAGTGTTTGTTCCATGTCTGTGAAATATGCCATTGGTACTTTAATAGGCATTGCATTGAATCTGTAAATTGCTTTGGGTAGTAAGGACATTTTGATGATGTTATTTCTTCTGATCCATGAACATGGTATATGTTTCCATTTATTTGTGTCTTCCTTGATTTCCTTCTTTAGTGTTGTGTAGTTTTCTGCATATAGGTCTTTTACCTCTTTGGTTAGGTTTATTCCTAGGTATTTTATTTTTCTTTTTGCTATATCAAATGGGATTTTTTTCTTTATTTCTGCTTCTGCTGTTTCATTGTTGGTATACAAAAATGCCTTTGACTTCTGGATATTGACTTTGTATCCCACTGTTTTGCCAAATTCATTTATTAGGTTGAGCAGTTTTTTGGTGGGGTCTATAAGATTTTCTCTGTACACTATCATGTCATCTGCAAACAATGACAGTTTTGTTTCCTCCTTTCCAATTTGTATGCATTTTATTTCCTTTTCTTGTCTGATTGCTGTGGCTAGAAGAATGTCCATATTTTTTGTTAGGACAACAACAGGAACTTGTTCCTTACCACCTATTAATTACTTATAATTATACTTATAATATTACAGATTATATAGTGACTGGCAATCTCACAGACAATAAGACAGTTTTAATAAACCTAAATTTCAATAAAGGATAAGCATATAATGAAGTGAGAGCTCTTAAATGTTCCTGGATACATTGTAATTGTTTCAATCCCTCTGCTAAGCAATTTGGCAAATTGGTAGTCATTAAAATCCTTAAAATTGGACTCCTGGCCAAGATGAAGGCATAGGTAGATACACTTTGCTTCCTCGAACAACCAAAAAAAAAACAACAAAAAATAAAACAACCAGAACTGCCAGAAAATTGAATTATACGGAAGTCCAACAACCAAGGAGTTAAAGAAGAAACATTAATTCAGCCTGGTAGGAAGGGTGGAGACTGGCAGCCAGGGTGGAAAGGATGGATGGCAAGGCAGTAGCTGGAAGACTAGGCAGTCCCACATTTGCATGTGGATAAGCCAAGAGAAGCAACTGGAGAGCAAGACTTACTACACAACCCAGGGTTCCAGCTTGGGGTAATAAAGCTTCAAAGCGTCTGGTGTAAAAACCTGTGAGAGTTGCAGCAGCAGGCAAACTCCCAGCCTCATGGGAGAGTTTGTTGGACAGACCCATGAATTCCTAGAACATAAAAAACCTATCCACCTGGGAATTAGCACCAGAAGGGCCCAATTAGCTTGGGAGTAAAGAGGAAAGTAACTCAGAGTAGGATGAGAGCTGAGCAAGCTACATTGTGCCTTCTCTGACCCTTCCTCCACATACAGCACTACATTGCAATGATGTGAGTTGCCCCACCCTGGCAAATACAAGGGCTCCACCCCTTACAACATAACAGGTGCACTGAGACAAAGAAATATTGCCCAAATGAAAGAATAGATCAAAACTCCAGAAAAGGAACTAAGCAACAAGCAGACAGCTAACCCATCAGATGCAGAGTTCAAAACACTGGCAATCAGGTTGCTCACAGAAATGATTGAGTATGGTCGCAAAACAGGAAGAAGTGAAGGCTACTCAAAGTGAAATAAAGAGAAATATACAGAGAACCAACAGTGAAGGGAAGGAAACTAGGACTCAAATCAAAGATTTGGGCCAGAAGGAAGAAATAAACATTCGAGGAGAACAGAATGAAGAAACAAGAATTCAAAAAAATGAGGAGAGGCTGAGGAACCTCTGGGACAACTTTAAACATTTCAACATTCAAATCACAGGGGTGCCAGAAGGAGAAGAGGAAGAGCAAGAAATTGAAAACTTATTTGAAAAAATAATGAAGGAGACCTTCCCTAATCTGGCAAAGGAACTAGAACTTCCAGGAAGTCCAGGAAGCTCAGAGAGTCCCAAAGAAATTGGATCCAAGGAGGAACACACCAAGACATATCATAGTTACATTACCCAAGATTAAAGATAAAGAGAAAATCTTAAAAGCAGCAAGAGAAAAGGAGACAGTTACTTACAAAGGAGTTCCCATTAGACTATCAGCTGATTTCTCAAAAGAAACCTTACAGGCAAGAAGAGGTTGGAAAGAAAGAAGTATTCAAGGTCATGAAAATCAAGAACCTGCAACCTAGATTACTCTATCCAGCAAAGCTATCATGTAGAATGGAAGGGCAGATAAAGTGCTTCCCAGATAAGGTCAAGTTAAAGGAGTTCCCATGGACACGAAATTTAGCTGGGGGATGCTAGAGGGAGGGGGATAAAGGGGAGAAAAATAATGGGACAACTGTAATAGCATAATCAACAAAATATACTTAAAAATTAAATGCAAATACCTGGTCTCCAAAAGAAAAAAAAAACACCCTTAAAACTATAAATACCACTGGATCCAGAAATAATCCAAAAAGGTTTTATGTGAAGATGTAAATTGTATTCTTCTTGTTTTTTTCCTTCATTTTGGGGGGTAAAATCATTATTGATATATAATTGACATCTCATACAATTCACCCATTTAAAGTGTACAACTCAATGTTATAATACATTCAGAATCATGCAACTATCACCACAATCGATCAAAGGCCATTTTCTTCAAAAAGAAATATATCGCCCTTTAGCATTATTCCCCATCCCATTTCCATCCCCAATCCTAAGTACTTACCTACTTCCTGTCACTACAGATTTGCCTATTCTGAACATTTCATAGGAATGGAATCCTTATGCTAAATAACAGAAGCCAGTCACAAAAGAATGCATATTATATGTTTTCAAGGGTCATCCATATTACATCATGTGTCAGTACCTCCTTTTTATGGTCAAGTAATATTCCATTGTATATACATATACTATATTTAACACTACAGTCACCAGCTGGCTGACATTTGTGTTGTTTCACCTTTTGACTATTATGAATAATGCTGTTGTGAACATTTATGTTCAAGTTTTTATGTGGACATATTTTCATTTCTCTTGGCTACATACCTAGGAGTATAATTTACACTATTCTTATCACAGTTAAAATCATGGTCAAACAATGCAATTATGTTACACTCAGAGGCATTATGCATAAATGCTACATTCCCAAGAGAATTATGCAGAAAAAGCTTGGCTCTAGAGAAGGAAATCCACATTGATAGGAAAAAGGCTACACAAAGTGAAAAAAGCAGGACACGACCCACTTAAAATCCTTCCTGGGTTTCCCATTCCCTGCTGTGTCCTATGGCCCTATGCACCTCAGCTCTCTTCCCCTCAAATTCTCTGAGGGCCAGTTATATACTACCTTTCAGAGATTTTTTAGGCTGTCAGTTTCTGAGCCTTTGCATGTTTCCTCTATCACTCTGTTGCCACTTCTTCACCCAGTGGCTTCACGTCTTATCTTAAATGTCACTTCCTCAAAGAAACCTTCTCTAATATCCCTAAATAGGCTAGGGTTATGTAGTTCCACCAGCAGCTTGCAATTTTCCATCTTAATACTTTTGATACTTGTAATCGTTTATCCAAGTCAGTAATCAAATACTGTGAGCCTTTTACATGCAAAGATATAGAGTGAAACAAAAATATGGAGAATCCTTGCCATGCAAGATCTTACATTGTACAGAGGGAATACAATGTACATAAATCAATATACTGGGTAATTTTAGATAATGATAATTAGCTCAGTGTTTATTCTCTGGATTGTAAACACCATTTAGGCAGGAGCCATTATTTATCTCTCTCGGTTATTTCCAGTTTGGTAGAGCTTAGCACTGAGTCTGGCCGGCTGAATAAGCAAAACGCATTTTTTCCCATGACTTAAAATTGACATATAGACGTGAAAAACACAAGGAGACTGCTTCTGCAAATAACTGACTTTTTTTTCTTTTTCTGTTTCAAAACTTCTGTAATTCTACATATTTTTATCACCAAAACAATTAAAAGATGAGCAAAAATTACTCTAGGTAAGTAAAAGAACCCCCAAATAAAACACATTTATATGTCACCACACACTCGTTAAACACCTGGGAATAAAACCTAGTCTGAAATACTCAGATGTGTTGGTTAAGTGAATACAATTTCCTTGGCGCATTACCAAGCACGTTCTCGGCCTTCAGCTGTATAATTCACCATTTTAAATTGGCCTTAAGCAAAAAGGTGCTTAAGGACAGAAGCCCTCAAATGTCCTGATGTCTAAAGTGCTTTAGAATGTCCCTCCACCCAGGATGTGGCAGCAAAGAAAACACTGCAATTCCATTTACACCTCAATGATAAGGGAACACAATTTTTTGCGAGATCAACAAAGAATATAATACTTTTCCACAACGCATCACCTGCCCCTTCCCAATACATATTCTTCTACCAGTCCCAGAAACAAGTTAGCTCGGATCAATCCAGAGAGCTCCAGGTTGGGCCAGAGAAGCATCCCAACAGTACCCCACCCCCAAGCGGTGCCCTCAGCCGCTTCTTTCTTACACGAGACGCATGCGCAGCGCACTCTCCAGACACCCTTCGCCAGGTCTAGGCCCGCTGAAGAAGGGCTCTGACGTCATCGTGCGGTGGTTCACGGACCCTTCCGCTCTCCTAGGGCAAACAAGTCCGCGCAACTTGGATTTTCTTAGCCCACAAAAAAAATTTTTTCCCCTTCTAGTTAACCACAGTGCCTTTCCAACGGCAGTTTTCTCCCCGATTTCTCTCCGTGTGTTTGTTGGACCGCAAAACCCAGGGGGAGGAAAAGGGGGGTTAACGTGAGACTATTTCACCCTTGTTTACAAGGGTAGAGCTACACTCGGAATCGGTCCGCGAGGGCGGAGCCGAGGAAGCCGGCACCTCTTTCCACCCCCTCCCTCCCTTGCCTTCCCCGCGAGCGGACGCAGCAGCGCCTCTGTCTCGCCTTTTCTTATTTTCCCCCTTCCCCTTCTTTTTTTTTCTTTTTCTTTTTCCCCTTTCCTCCCTTTCACCATTTCCCCTCGGAGGCGCTTCCCCCGGGCAGGGGCAGAGCCGGTCTCATCCCCCGCCTCTCCCCGACCCCCGCCGCCCTATGGAGAGAGGGAGCCCCCTCCCCACCCGGGCACAAGCGGCGGTTGGAGGAGCCAGACCGGCGGTGGCAGCCTCAGGTCCAGGATCGTCATGGAACTAATTCGCTGACCGACCCACGGCAGCAGCCGTGTGTCCTGCTCGAGTGGCAGTGCCCGCGCCCCCCGGCACGGTTTCCCCTCTTCTCCCTCCTCAGTCCGCTTGGTCTTCGTCTCACGCGCCCCGTCGCCGCGCGCTGAGGAAAATGAGGTGGTAGCGGGCCCCGGATGACCCCGCGTCACCACTGTGAGGCCTACAGCTCTGCCAGGGAGGAGGAAGAGGAGAAGGTGAGCGGGCAGGGCCGGGGCTCGACAAGTCTCCGCGACCGCGCTGGCGCGAGCGAGCAACGCACAGGAAAGCCCCCGTAGCCGCCCGCTCCCGGGCACCACCTCCCCCACCACCAGTGGGGGAAGGACTTCGCCAGTCCTCCCCCAGCCACATCCATCCACCCCTACTACATCCCCCCCTCCCTCGGTCCGTCCGCCTTCGCCTCCGCTTCCACAGGGGCCCTCCGCGAGAACAGCTCGGCACCTGCCCAGTTTGCTAACAGCTCTTCTCTATACCCTTTCGGGCCATTTTTGTCCGTCGCCGAGTAACTTTTTTTGTAGGAATTGCAGGTTGTCTACTCTGTAATGCATTTTCTAGGCTCTACAAGCCTGTGTAATACACAAAGAAGGGGACACACTCCCACCGTTAGACTTCAACGCTCCTGTGGGAGCCAAAGAAAGATGATTTACATTGCAAAGCGATGTGAATGCCAAATGAATGGGGCGGACCGCCGAGGCTGCGGGAACTCGGTGAAGGGGAACGTCACCCAGGGTGTGGGTGGGGGAGATTGAAGAGGAGGTGAGATTTGAGTTGCATCCTGAAGAGCGAATAAAAATAGCGAAGTTTTGAAAAAAGGAAAGAAGGGCCTCTGCTGAGCTCAAGGTTCCACTGCAGATCATTTTGGCCGGACTTGAGAATTGGGTAGCAAAATAGTGGAAGGTATCTATCTCTCCGGAAGCAGGATGGAATCAGACTGACACTGAACGCTAAGCTCAAGTATTTAGCCTTTCTTATGTTATTGGGGAGTCACTCAACATTTGAGCAGCAGTGTGTGACCTTAGGGTGTTAATAACAACACTTGTTGAGGCATATTATCAGACAGTTATTCTAAGTGGTTTGCAACTTACTGAATTCTTGAGGCAGGTTTCATTGAGTGTCATTTCACAGATGAGGAAAACTGAAGCTCGATGAAATAAAGTAATTTCTTCCTTAAATGGCACAGCTAGAACCTGGTGGCCAGAGTTCAAACCCGAGCATTCTGAGAATACGTTGAATAGTTTCTCTCTCTGTTGAAAAGGTTAACAGTAATGTTATCTGCTTCCAGTTTTCCAGGTCATTTGTGGTAGATGAAGTAGAAGGGAATGGATAAATACCAATAAGTTAAGAGAGAATGGACGAGATCTAGATTCACTAATCTGGGACCAGCAGGATGAGAGATAATGAGTTTCTGGACCAGGAAAATCTTAATATTGATGAAGAGCAGACCAGTAGAATTAACATGTGTTGGGAGGTAAAGTAGAGTGGCATCCTAGTGGGTTAGAATGGAACTCGCAAACGTTTTTTGGTCACATTGGAAGCTGAGAGTGTGTATACTCTCTGATTGTTTATTCTGATTGTGTAATATTTTAAAGATGAAAAGTATTCAATCTCTGCATGTTTCTTTATCTTTAAAGTGAGCTTAATACCTACTTCATAAGGTTGTGTTAGGATTAAATCAGTTAATATGGCATAATACTTAGAAGAATACTGACCAGGTAGCACTCACTGCTTTTACCTGTTAATCATTTAGCAAGTGTAAGCTATTGTTTATTAAGTTATAGTGCTCAACTCTGAATGCCATCACGGAACTTATGGTTAGTAGGAGAGACAAGTCTGCAAATAATTATCACAGCAATTAAATGCAAAAGTAGAGTTATGTCCAAGTAGGGGTATAGGAAGGCAGTGTTCCAGTCACAGATTGATGCAAGTGTACACTCAGTAGGAAGGGGAGTGTGAGCTACAGAAGGACATTTCAAGTTAAAAGAAGAGAGTGTGGAAAGACATGGAGATTGGGAAAGAGCATCCTGTTTTAGAATTGCAAGTATTACATATAGTTCATTATTAAGTTAGGGGCATAAAGCCAAGGAAGTAATATTAGGAAGTAAAACCCAATAATGAGGTTCTTGTATTAATAAATTCATATTTAGAAGAGGAACATAAGATCCAGAAATCAGCACCAATACAGAATTATTAATAGTGTTGATGTTATAATAATAGTAAGCATAATAATTCCATATTAATGAAGTTCTGTTTAGCCATCACCATGCAGTAGTTTCCCTTAGATGAGTGGGAGGCCCTTTATATAGATTTGTAATATAGTTTATGCTGTATAATAAGGACTTTATAAACTTCACTCAGACATTAAGCTATTTGATAAACCTGAAAGAAGCAGAAGTAGAGATTTAAAGAATGGGAGACGTGTGAAAGAAGCTATTCATAAAGTTAGAGGTGTGTGGAGTATGCCAACCAAAATACTGTCTTTTTGTTTTTCAGTTCCTAGAGACTTTTCTACCTGAGCATTCAAAATTCTGGCTGTATCCAAACGTGGGCATAAAATAATGTTTTAAGTGTTCTTATTTTATTTCTTAGCAGGGTTCATTATTAATCTGATTCAAATAATCTGTTTTACATATTAGAAAATAGGCCCTGATTGACTTGGTTTGTTGAGCATTGTCCTGCAAAGTGAAGGGTCCCTGGTTTGATAACCGTTTGGGTGGGAGCATTCCTGGTCAGGGTACATCCCTGGGTTGCAGCCTGGGCCTATGTGGAAGGCAACCAATGGACGTTTCACACATTGATGTTTTTCTCTCTCTCTCTCCCCCCTCCCCCTCTCTCTAAAAATAAATAAATAAATTTAAAAAAAGAAAATAGGTTGTATTCTGCCAGTAAAAGAAGAAAAACTCAAGCCAATGCTTAATGTGTCATATTTTTATTTATTTTTTTAAGATTTTATTTATTTATTTTTAGAGGGGAAGGAGAGAGGGAGAAATACATCAGTGTGTGGTTGCCTCTAATGCATCCCCTGCTGGGAACTGACTGGCCTGTAGGGGACTGGCCTGCGACCCAGGCATGTGCCCTGACTGGGAATCAAACCGCAATCCTCTGGTTTGCAGACCTGTGACAATGTGTCATATTATGCCTTACTAGAGACTTAAAAATGGAATGTAAGTAATAGCCTGATAAGTACTTCCATAAATTGTCTTTTACATCTTATAAGTAATTTCAAAATGAAACCCTTCACCAGGATTCACCTATTAACATTTTACCTTATTTGGTTTATCATTTGTCATCCCTGTCCCCCCACCAGATGTATGTATAAATTTCATGATGGCCCCTTACTCCTAAATTTTGTAGTGTGCATTTCTTAAGGCTAGGGATATTCTCTTAGAGAATCACAGTAAAGTTATAAGCTTTAATACATTTAACATTGTTACATTTACTTTAGTCTACTGCCCATGTTCCCATTATGTCAATTGACCCAATAATGACATTGTTAGTATTTATCTCTCTTCCAGTACAGGATCCATTCTAAGGTCAGATACTGCAATCTGATTTTTCTATAGACTCATTTAATCAGGAACATCCCCACAGGTGTCGTCCATTCTTTCTTTCACTTGCATATTTGTATCTTTTTTTTTTAAGTTTAAGAAATTCAAACTTTTTTCCTTTTACTTTGTTGACATCCTAGTGTGAGCAAAGAATGATTTCTTTTTCTTCTCCTGATGTGATGTATTATGTTAATTGATTTCTGAATATTAAACCAACTTCACATTCCTGGGCTAAGTCACATTTGGTTATGGTGTATAATCTTTTTTACAGTGGGAGATTCAGTTTGCTTGTTTTTTGTTGTTGTTGAGTTCTGTGTGTATTTAGAAAAGATACTGATCTATAGTTTTTTAGTGCTATATGTTGTTTTTGGTTCTGGTAGTAGGGTGATAACTGGCCTCATAAAATGAGTTGAGAAGTACTCTTTTTGCAAGAGTAGATGAATAATTTGTATTAATTTTTCTGTAAATGTTTAGTAGAATTGACTAGTGAAGCCATTTTGGCATAGGCTTTTCCTTAGCAGTAGTTTGTTTATTCATTTTGTTTCTTGTTATATGGCTAGTCAGCCCTTCTGTTACTTAAGTGATTTTTGATAGTTTGTGGTTCTAGTATTTGTTTCATCCAAATTGTTCACTTTATTGGTATACAGTTTATAAAATTCTTTTATTTTTTAAAAAATTCTATAGCATAGGTAGTCATGTCTTTGCTTTCTTTCTGCTTTTAGTGCTTTATCCTTTGTTTTTTCTTGGTCAGTGTAACTAAAGATTTGCTAATTTTAATGACCTTTTCAAAGAACTACCTTTTGGTTGCATTGATTCTATTTTATTTTTCTGTTCTGTACTTTTTCATTTCCACTCTAATATTCTTTCCTTCTGGCTTTCGTTAGTTATAGTTTACTATACTTTTTCCAGTGTCTTAGGGTAGAAGGTTATGGTATTGATTTGAGATTGTCTTTAATATAGCATTTACAAGAATTAATTTGTCTCTAAGCACCACTTTCATTGCATCCCATAAGTTTTTTTATGTTAGGTAGTCTTTTTCATTCATCTGAAAGTATTTTCGAATTTTACTTGTGATGTCTATTAAAAAAGTTGTTAAAAGCATCTAAATATCTGAAAGTGTTACTGAGGACCTAAATTGTAGGTAATTGGAAAACAGGAATCTTGAACCTGATCTTATCGCTATGTAAAGTACTGTGGTATTCTCTTACATTTACGTTTCTTGCATAACCTTTTTTTTTTCTGGTTTACTTTCTCAGTTGCTTACCTTTCATTATATCTTTTCACGTTTCTCCAACAATCTTTCTCTTTTTTTTTTTTTTTAGAATTTTATTTATTTTTAGAGAGAGGGTAAGAGGGAGAGAAATAAACATCGATGTGCGAGAGATACACATCAACCAGTTGTTTCTTGCACTGCCCTTGGTATGCCCCAAGTCCAGGACCTGGCCTGAGAACCCAGGCGTGTGTCTCAGTGGGGAATCAGACCAGTGATCTTCCGGTTTACAGACTGGCACTCAATCCACTGAGCCATACCAGCCAGGGATTCAGCAATTCTCGGTTAAATTTTTTATACCTAGTTATCTCTCAGATGTATAGTTTCCCTCTTTTTAAAACTTTTTTTAGGCATCTCTCTTGGACTTTGATTTGCCCTGCACTGATCATGTATTGGCTTTTCAGACTTGTTGCTCATTTGGACTGCCAGTCACTTTACTGTTGAGTTTTCTAATCAACGCTGTCCAGTAGAATTTGTTGCCTTGATAGACATGTTCCCTTTCTGTATTATCCAATGCAGTATTTGTTAGTTACTTGTAGTTATTGAGCATGTGAAATGGGGCTAGACTGAGGAGTTGTATCTAATTTAAATATCCACATGTGAGGTTAGTAGACACTGTATTGGAAGCTCAATGGAATATAGTTTCATATTGCCTTTTTATACTATATGTACATATTTTTGAACCATGAAAAAAATCAAAACTAATTGTTTTAAAATGAAAAAAGTTTCATATTTAAGGTGATGGTTTCATGCTGATTAAGTGAGAATAGGTGGGATTTAACATGGTTGTTGTAACTTTTTTTAATGAAAAAGGTTGGCAACCCTTACCTGATTAGATTTTTAACATGAATATTTGGGACATATACTAAGAATTCCTAGTATAAAAAGCTCATAACTTTAGATTGTCTGACACAGTTTGACAGTTATAATCTATTTTGATTAAGGTCCAGTGGTTTTTGTCAGTTATAAGACCATGTTTTTATTCTTTATAACTGTGTTTCCAATTTAAAGTGAGAATGTTTTGATAACTATCACCGTAATATTTTTAAAGTTGTTTTTATTGATTTATTTATTTTTAGAGAGAGGGGAAGGTAGGGGGAGAGAGAGGGAGAGAAACATAGATTGGTTACTTGTTGCACACCCCATACTGGGGACCTGGTTGCAAGGCACTTGCTCTAGCTGGGAATTAAACTGGTAACCCTTTGGTTTTGCAGGCCCATGCTTAATCCTCTGAGCCATGCCAGCCAGGGCAACATTTTAATATGTGATATTTTCAAAAGCTATAAAAGCTTATACTGCCTCATAACAATCTTATTTTGTTATATGAATTGCTTAATAAGAGCCAGCATACTTATACATCGCTATACTTATTCTGTAATTACATAAACAGCCTTGTTTTATATTTGATTTTATAGGTAGCTACATCAAGCTGGGAGGCAGGCAGATCCAAAGGATATCATGAAGTTTCCAGGGCCTTTGGAAAACCAGAGATTGTCTTTCCTTTTGGAAAAGGCAATCTCTAGAGAAGCCCAGATGTGGAAAGTAAATGTGCCGAAAATGCCTACAAACCAGGTAATGATTTTTCTCCTCACTGTAGATAGATGACTTTTATTAGAAATAAGTCTACTATTGTCCTATATTAGTATCTTGACATGAATTGGAGAAATATGTACCAGTGAGGGGTATGCTGTGTTTTTTATTTGAGAAACATCTTATTTTATTGTGAAACAAAATAAGAATGAACTGGTTTTGTTTGCTTGCTTGTGTTGCTTGCTTGTGTTTGTATCTGAGTTATAGCTTTAGAAAGATAGGTACGTGTGTTTTCTTTCCTCGTAGTCAATACTAATAGTAGTAAACTGCCATTATTTCTAGATTATAGTTAGCCATTGTCTTCAGGTAACAAAAAATTGCTCTATATTTCTTGAATATTATGAGGAATTCAAGTAAACTGCTAAGGTAATATTGGAAGCTTCTAGGGAGAGAGCCAGCTGACCTCTAAATTACTGTTTGTTTTGTGCCCTTTTAAAAAATTCTGTAATTTCATCATATAATTACATTAGCTGTTTTTTTTCTACAAACAACTATGAAGTTTATTCACTTGAAAAGCTTACTGTATAAAATGTCATACACATCTTTTTACCCCTAGTAACTAGTATCGTGTTTGGGATAAAGAATAATGGCCAAGAATATTTTGATATGTGTACATTAATGAATAGCAAATATCTGAGTTCTTTCTGTGTTGTTTTGGTTCATTTTTTCCCCCTTTATCCCCCTCTACCTTGTACTCCCCTTCCTCCAGTATCCCCCCCCCACTGCTTTTAGTTCATGTCCATGGGTCATACATGTAAGTTCTTTGGCTTCTCCATTTCCTATACTATTATTAACCTCCCACTATCTATTTTGTACTTACCAATTATGCTTCTCATTCCTTACACATTTTTGCCCCATTCTTACCCCCCTCACTCCACTGACAGCTCTCCATGTGATCTCTGTTTCTGTGAGTCTGTTCCTATTCTAGTTGTTTGCTTTGTTTATTTTTATTTTTAGGTTCAGTTATTAATAGTTGGAGTTTGTTGTCATTTTACTGTTCGTAGTTTTGATTAGATAAGTACCTTTAACATTTCATATAATAAGGGCTTGGTGATGATGAACTCCTTTCACTTGACCTTGTCTGGGAAGCACTTTATCTGCCCTTCCATTCTACGTGATAGCTCTGCTGGATAGAATAACCTAGGTTGCAGAGTCTTGATTTTCATGACTTGGTTGAATACTTCTTTCCGGCCTTTTCTTGCCTGTAAGGTTTCTTTTGAGAAATCAGCTGATAGTCTAATGGGAACTCCTTTGAAGGTAACTGTCTCCTTTTCTCTTGCTGCTCTTAAGATTCTTTTCTTATCTTTAATCTTGGGTAATGTAACTATGTCTTGGTGTGTTCCTCCTTGGATCCAATTTCTTTGGGACCCTCTGAGCTTCCTGGACTTCCTGGAAGTTCTAGTTCCTTTGCCAGATTAGGGAAGTTCTCCTTCATTATTTTTTCAAATAAGTTTTCATTTTCTTGCTCTTCCTCTTCTCCTACTGGCACCCTTATGATTTGGATGTTGGAACGTTTAAAGTTGTCCCAGAGGTTCCTCAGCCTCTCCTCATTTTTTTGAATTCTTGTTTCTTCATTCTGTCCTCTTCGAATGTTTATTTCTTCCTTCTGGCCCAAATCTTTGATTTGAGTCCTTCACTGTTGGTTCCCTGTATATTTCTCTTTATTTCACTTTGAGTAGCCTTCACTTCTTCTTGTTTTGCGACCATACTCAATCATTTCTGTGAGCAACCTGATTGCCAGTGTTTTGAACTCTGCATCTGATGGGTTAGCTGTCTGCTTGTTGCTTAGTTCCTTTTCTGGAGTTTTGATCTATTCTTTCATTTGGGCAATATTTCTTTGTCTCAGTGCACCTGTTATGTTGTAAGGGATGGAGCCCTGGTATTTGCCAGGGCTGGGCAACTCACATCATTGCAATGTAGTGTTGTATGTGGAGGAAGGGTCAGAGAGGGCACAATGCAGCTTGCTCAGCTTTTGCCCTGCTTTCAGTCACTTCCCCCACTACCCACCCAGAAACAAATTGTGCCATATTGATGCTGATTCCTGGGTGGGTGGGCTTGGGCTTGTGTACATGGTGGGACCCAGTACCTCTCTCCTGTGGACTTTCTTACGAGGCTGGGAGTTTCTCCCACTGCTGCATCCCCCGTAGGTTTTTATAGCCATAAGTTTTGAGGCCTCAGGTTCCCAGGCTGGAACAGCCCTGGGTTGTGCAGTCTGTCTTGCTCCCTAGTGTTCCTCCTGGCTTGTGCACATGTGAAGGTGGGATATCTGCATCCGCTACCTGCTGCCTCACCCACCCTGGTCCACCAGCCACCTCCTTGTCCTGCGATCACATCCTTGCACCCCAGCTTCCCGTTTCTGTCCTTCCTACCAGTCTGGATGAATGTTTCTTTAATTCTTATGGAAGTTGAACTTCCATAGGGTCCAACTGTCTATTTTCTGACAGTTCTAGTTATTTTTTGTTTTTAAATTGGTTATTATCCTTTTTGGTTGTGTGAGGAAGTGAAGCGTATCAGTCTGTGCCTTCATCTTGGCTGGAAGTTCTCAAAGTGATTTTTTTTTTTCAAAAGTGCTTTTTATATACAAAGATAAAACAGCTCTGTGTATATAAAGGTAGTTTTATTAGAATTTTGAAACTTTAAAAAATCTTAAAAGCCACCTAATTATGTGATTTTTCCAATATAGGGTCTCAAGCCCCTGGGCCACTAGGCAAATCAGAATCTTTAGGAGGATTTTTATTATTTTTATTTTTATTTTTAAATATATTTTATTGATTATGCTATTACCATTGTCCCATTCCTCCCCGCTTTATTCTCCTCCTACATACCCCCTCCCACCCACATTCCCCTGCTTTACATGTAAATTCTCCCCCCATGGGTCATACATATAAGTTCTTTGGCTTCTACATTTCCTATTCTATTCTTAACCTCCCCCTGTCTATTTTGTACCTACCATCTATGCTACTTATTCTCTGTACCTTCCCCCCCATTCCCATTTCCCTGTTGATAACCATCCACGTGATCTCCGTTTCTATTCTAGTTGTTTTCTTAGTTTGCTTTTGTTTTTATTTTAGGTGTGGTGGTGGTGGTTAATAACTATGAGTTTGCTTTCATTTTGCTTTCATTTTCATTTAGGTGTGGTGGTGGTGGTTAATAACTATGAGTTTGCTTTCATTTTGCTGTTCATCTTTTTTATCTTCTTTTTCTTAGATAAATCCCTCTAACATTTCATGTAATAAGGGCTTGGTGATGATGAACTCCTTGAACTTGATCTTATCTGAGAAGCACTTTATCTGCCCTTCCATTCTAAATGAAAGCTTTGCTGGATAGAGCAATCTTGGATGTAGGTCCTTGCATTTCATGACTTGGAATACCTCTTTCCAGCCCCTTCTTGCCTGTAAGGTCTCTTTTGGGAAATCAACTGACAGTCTTCTGGGAACTCTTTTGTAGGTAATTGTCACCTTTTCTCTTGCTGCTTTTAAGATTCTCTCCTTGTATTCCATTTTGGGTAATGTAATTATGATGTGTCTTGGTATGTTCCTTCTTGGGTCCATCTTCTTTGGGACACTCTAATCTTCCTGGACTTCCTGGAAGTCTATATCCTTTGCCAGATTGGGACAGTTCTCCTTCATTATTCTTTCAAATAAGTTTTCAATTCCTTGCTCTTCCTCTTCTTCTGGCACTCTTTAGGAGGATTTTCAGAGCTTCCAGGCCCCACCCATGCCCACTGAGCTTCTTGTGGCAACTGTGGACATTTGTGTTTTTAAAAGCTTCATGATTCTATTAGCATATGTTTAGTTTGGGAAACACTGGTTCAGTCTAACTACAAAATTTGAAAATTCTAGGGCGTTGTTGGGGCGGGGGAGAGTGGTAGGTTTTTTTTTTTTTTTTTACTTGAACTACAGTTTAAAAAAAAAGAAAGAACGAACTACCATGTCCGATGAGATCTTCTGCTTTGGGTACTTGCTCATTATACTGGAAAAAAATGTATGAATTATTGGAAAGTTTTTCCTAAACTGAATCTTAAAATTGCTTTTTTTCCTAGAGGACACTTGGATTGGTTCTAGTTCTGGCCACAGCAGCAGTACAGAATAGAGCTGTTTCTTATTTTAAACAATAGCCCTTAAGTTAAAGACGGGTGTTAAACCCATGAAGTCATCTCTAACCATTTTTTGTTAGACAGGATTTTCCCTTAACCATCCTATATTTTCATTTTCTAGACACATTTGTTTTAGTGTGTCTCTTAAATTGAGACATTTCAGTTGTTGTCATTAATGAGCAATAAAGTGAAACTATTACCTCATCTTAATCTAGGATTTATTTGTTTCATTATCTAAACTGAATTTTATTTGGCAGTAATGTCATGTTTGTTGGCCTATAATAAACTTGTTTTTAAAACCTTACTGTTTCTGTCTCAACTTCTAAGCAAAGATTCCCTTACACTAGATGTACTTTTTTAGTTTTTAACTTAGGTGCAGCATTTCTTATTTATTCCTATTAAATTTAAAATTGTTTATCATGGTCCATTTTTCCGGCTTTAAAATTAAGATTGTTATTTAATCATTTTTGTACCATCTGTGGATTTGGTAAGTAAATACCATGTTTTTAGGACTATAAGATGCACAGGACCATAAAATGCACCTAGGTTTTAGAGGAGGAAAATAGGAAGAAATTTTGAAGCAAAAAAATGTGGTAAAATGTTTAATAACCTGTTACCCTGCTCCTCTGCTGCCACCCCCCCCCCCATGCGAGCCCAATAAGCTACATTCGGACTATACATGGCACCTGCATTTCTTCCCAAATTTGGGTTGTGTGTCTTATAGTCCGAAATATACTGTACATCTGTTTTCTCCCTGGCTTGATGGTCTTTTTTGTTTTCCTTAAACAGTTTTTTGATGTGTAATATATTGGAACATATGCAGATCATAAGTACACAACTAGAATTTTACATTACCAGCAGCTCAGAAGCCCCTCTGTGTTCTTTT